TTCTCCATTCTCTCTATCTCTTCTTGTTTACATTTTACTGCATTGCTTTTATTTTATAACAAACGTAAGTATTTGATTTGTTGAGTAAAGTCTACAAATTAGTGGAGTGTTGAGTGTAATTTACCAAAAATTGAGCACTTAAAAAAGCTATAACAATTATTGATGCAAAGAAGGAAAAGTTCCCTTTCAAAAAATAATTGCAATTGGGGAAATTGCAATTATTTTAACCTAATTTCACTTTTTGCATCTACTAAAATATGAATAAAAAAAACTGTTCCTTTTTCAACAAATCAAGAATTCGCACCAAAAAAAAAATTAATTGCACAAATTTCTTCGGTTTCTCAAGTTCGTGTTCTCATTTTTTCCTCTCTTTTTCTGTCCTCTGGCGCTATTAGGTTTAGCTGCTTTGTCTGTGAATCTACAATCCGGTGAGTTTTGTTTTGTTCCTCTTTTTTTCTTTCGTTTTCTCGCCTTCTGCATGTATCTAGATGTGGTATTTAATTTCAATAGTTAATCTCCACTGTGATTATAACTTTAACTGATAAATTTAACTTTATGTGTTTGACACTTTTTTTTTTGTTTTTTGGTGGATCCATGGAATTTTTTATCGCATTTATTAGCATATTGTATCTCCTTTGACGCATAGTATGAATAGACGTAGTCAATTTTGGGATGAAGATTTCTATTGCGTAATAGCTCCAAAATGTGTTAAGTATAATGCCACTCTTTGAACATAGACAGCTGTAAATTTTGCTCAATTTATTAGTAGAATTTTCAATTTTTACTCTGATAAAATAGTTCCTCCAGAATCCTTGAGCAATTTTCTACTCTCTTTTATTAATGTGCAAAATTTTGTGTCACGATTATTTACACGCAAGTTTTTGATTGAACAGAGTCGCAAGCAGCAGTATATAAACACTTCATTCAACTCCTTCAGAGAAATAAAGTATGGGGATTATAAAAGATGGTTCAGTATCAGGAATATTACCCATTAACAAGGTCTTTGTCGTACATTACCCTGCTTACCCTTCTTCAATGGAACGCGCTGTTGAGACTCTTGGCGGCATTCAAGGCATTGTCAAGGCTCGTACTTCACAGTCAAATAAGCTGGAGCTCCATTTTCGTCCAGAAGATCCTTATTCACACCCTGCCTTCGGGGAGCTTAAGCATAGCAATAATTTTTTGCTGAAAATTTCCAAGACTAAAGTAAGGGATGTTGATAGTAGTTGTGGGATATCGAGACAATCTTCAATAAGTCCTGTTAACCGTGAACAAGAAAATTCACATTCATTAGCTGCACAAAAGGTGAATGAGTCTAGATGTTTGTCAGCTACTAATTTGCAGGAGCATCTCTCGGCTAATATTGTTTCTCATGTTGCTGAAGCTTATCATTTTAATGGAATGGTAGACTATCAGCATGTTCTTGCTGTCCATGCTGATGTTGCAAGAAGAAAAAAGAGACAGTGGGCAGAGGTGGAACCTAAATTTGAGAAGGGAGGTCTTATGGATGTCGATCAGGAGGATTTGATGATTTTACTACCTCCTTTGTTCTCCTTAAAAGATATTCCTGTAAATATTGTATTAAAATGTTGTGCAAGTTTGAGCTCGAAAAAAAAACAGGACGAACTTGACCAGCAAAATTGGGAGAGGGAGATGGAGATGGAGATGGAGCGGAGTCTTGGCATTGATTTTAATATCAAAGAGGTTCCTAAACCTGTGGATTGGGAAAAGATCATAATTCAGGGCTCAGATGATTGGAGATGGCAGAAAGCGGTATATGATTTATTTGAAGAGCGTCAAATATGGGCCAAAGAGTCATTGCCTGAGCACTTGTGTGATGGGGGTATGGAGGTTGGAGAGAGCAAGCTCAAAAAGCTTCTTGTTAGAGTTGCATATTACTTTTTGAATGGGCCTTTCCGTAGATTCTGGATAAAAAAAGGGTATGATCCTCGGAAGGATCCCGAATCTCGTGTATACCAGAATATTGATTTCCGAGTACACAACCCTAAATTACGAAGCTACTGTGAGAGCCAATTATCATCTGGATTGAAACATAAATGGGATGATATATGTGCCTTCCGAGTTTTTCCGTATAAATGTCAGATGTCATTGCAGCTTTG